CTTAGAGTAGCAGAGCTGCTCTAGGGTGTCTAACCTGCGGTGTAGAGACAGTAGCTGTAGAGCCGATGAGAGCTGCTTCTGGGTGGATAAGCCAGTCTTCCATGTTGCTTGAAGACTGGGAGCGTGATCAGTTTCTCCTCCATCCTGTGTGAGTGCGAATCTCCGGGAGTCACCATTTGTGGGGTATGAGATGTTTGGTTCACACTCAGGATGGAATGGAGAAAGGAAACTCACAATGTGCTCTCTATATACATGTTGTATTGGATGTACAATGCAGCTTGGTGCTGGGAAGGCAGCATGGTTACAAGCGTGATGTAGAGAGAGCTGGTTGGTGAGGACGCTCAGAGAAGGACAGCTTGTGGGTCACCATGCTCGCCGGCGGGAGAGAGGACCGCCAGGCAGGCGGAGGTGTTGCTGGCTGGTTGGTGTAGGTAGAAGGAGAGACAGATCACCACGAGGTCAGGTCTTAAATAGCGGGGGTAGGCGTGGCTTAGCAGTTGACCCCCGCTCCGTGGTGTATGGCGGCGCTGGTTGACCTAGACCACGAGGCATACACTGGGGAATTGGTGGGGTCGGCTAGGCAGCGACAAACAGCGTTTGTAGGGGAGAATTCCACTACAATGTTCTTTAACATACTTACCGATTTTTACTTATGTTTATTTATCTAAATACAAATTCATATAGGTTGGCTCATTGCTCTATCCATTGTAAAATTAAATTAACAGTATATACTAGAAGAAAGTCATAATATAATGCGAAACAACAAAGCCCAACCATTAATTAAGCAACGGGGAACTAAGTAACCAATCACCGATCACATTTACATTCATTCATAATTTTTACTACGTAGTATAGTAAACAAACAGACTTGAGTTGCCAGCTGTCTCCAGCAGTGTTCGAAGAATCTTGAACATGACTGTACAATGCAGTGCTAGGGAGTTGCTGTGTAATGAGGAGCTTGTTGAGAGGAGGTCCTGTACGTTTGAGAGCGTTGAGTAGAATGACCTTCGAATCGAATCGATGGGTGAAGTAAATTGTGAAGAGATCTTGAAGCTGGTGCATAGATTGGTGGTACAGGAACTGGACTTGAAGAATGATGGTGGAATTTGGAGGGACTTGGGGTTGGTGGATAGTGCAAGAAGAAAGGCGAGGAAATTGGAAAGTAGTAGTAGTAGAGTGCTAGGTCTTGTGGCTCAACCCAAGTGCTTCTGTTTTCTCATGTTTATGTTTCAGCTAATTTTCGTCTTAGGCGTTATATTTATGTTTGGTGTTTGTATGTTTAGCAAGTGTTGCTAGGGCAGGTACTTGTGTTCCTGCTAAGAACATCCCGTCTTTTTATGATCTAATGTTGTAAGTGGTGCACAGGTTGACAACCCCTTATCCGAAATTCCGAAAACCGAAAAAAAAAATTGTGGAGCAATTTTTTTTTTTTTTTTTTTATATAGCCCACCCGGGCACAGGTCACTGACCCACATCGGGGCCTGGAGGGTGAAAATGTAATAGTAATACTAATTATAATAATACAGGTAATAATAATTAACATTTGTCTTTTATTTTGGGCGGGCAGGCGGGTCGTGTTGCGTCTCTGTAACAAAGCGTGTTGGCATTCGGGCCTTCGATGTAGAGCGGCAGAAATTGGACAGTGATTACATAAGATCGTCTTAGTGATGTGAAAGTGTAATTCGATGTAGGACTTTTAATGCTAGGCACGATTGTATTTTTGAAAACTCAATTTCCACGAGTTGGAGGTACAGCCAGGGTCACAGGCCTATAACCACACAATCACTGCCACATGACAAAGCTTTTATTTTATTTTATTTTTTTTAAGGTGTTGTGGTCACGGCTGTGATAAAGGCCAACCAGGGAGTGTAGTATTGTGCCTTTAGTTTAATCAGTTCATAGTGTCATCAGACTGCAGAAGAGACTATAAATAACTTAAAGTGAATACATAATGGCAATCAAGCTGGTAAGGACAACTGCCAGCCTATTCATGTCATAGGTGCCACAGAGACTTTAAATTTTATTTTGTTTGTGTGCTTTCTCAAGGACTGAATCTGTGTTTATAATACACCACTCACAGGGAGATACAGTGTACACAGTGATAGTTCATAGTGTCATCAGTGACCGCTGAAGTTGTAAATAACTTAAAGTGAGCGCTCACTAGCAAGCAAGCTGGAAAGGCACCGTGCCAGCTGAAACCAAGTCGTGTCATAGGTGCCACAGAGACTTTAAATTTTATTTTGATTGTGTGCTTTCTCAAGGACTGAAACTGTGCCTACAATACACCACTCACAGGGCGATACAGTGTACACAGTCGCAGATGACAACTCTATAGGCAACAGAGAGTAGCTAAGTACTTTTTCTCTCTTTACCTTTTTAAATAGGTGTAGATCTATACACAGTCTGCACCCCCCCCCCACAACAACAACAACCAATTCCTAATAAAAATCACCATAATCCCAAACTAGGTATAAAATTTAATAAACCTTTATTCACCAATAATCTTCGACTTCCTAAACGCTCGTAGACTATATTAGCAAGACAAAAAAGTCCAGAAGAACATAGTCCATGCCCTACCATAATTACTATGGCTCCAGTTTAGCCTCATCAACCAAAAACCACTAATCCTCTCAACACCAAGCTTATATGAGCTACTGAAGAATAAGCAATCAATGACTTAATATCAACCTGACGTAAACACATGAATCTTACAATTACCCTGTGGGGTTCATGTTTGTTTGGTTCACACTCAGGATGGAATGGAGAAAGGAAACTCACAATGTGCTCTCATGTATACATGTTGTATTGGATGTACAATGCAGCTTGGTGCTGGGAAGGCAGCATGGTTACAAGCGTGATGTAGAGAGAGCTGGTTGGTGAGGATGCTCAGAGGAGGACCAGCTTGTGGGTCGCCATGCTCGCCGGCAGGAGCAAGGACCACCAGGCAGGCGGAGGAGGAGGAAGTGTTACTGGCTGGTTGGTGGAGGTAGAAAAAGACAGGTCACCACGAGGTCAGGTTTTAAATAGCGGGGGGTAGGCGTGGCTTAGTAGTTGACCCCCGCTCCGTGATGTATGGCGGCGCTGGTAAACCTAGACCACGAGGCATACACTGGGGAATTGGTGAGGTCGGCTACTCCGCGACAAACAGCGTTTGTAGGGAAGAAATCCACTATAATACTCCCCCTTCCTTCCAGGCGGTGTAGGAGACTTGTTGTCTGCAGGGTTGCATAGCCATGTGAGGCAGAACGGGCGGTACATGCCTCATGTGAGACAACGGCGATGGCGTGGATGAGGCGGTCGCTGGATACAACTGTCTAGATACACCATATCTGTGGGAGTAAAGAGGGAGAAAAAGGGTGTGTGGAGGCGATGAATGTTGTGCTTCCCTCACGGCAGGTACAGAGTCGTCAGATGCGCCTGCTGGGGTGTGTGGGCCTGGGTCAGGAGCAGGGGCTGCGTCAGCAGAAGTGGATGAGGGCTCGTGACAGCAGCTGGGTCCACGACAGCAGCAGGGTGCCGGACATTAGCAGGGAGTACCTGAGGGAGAAAAGAGGGGTGTGTGGGTCCGCAATCAGGAACAGAGGCCGCATCAGGGGCGGCAGGGGTTACTGCTGGGCCGGGGTCGGCGTCTGAGGCAGGACGGGTGTGCTGGGGTCGGAAGAGGAGCGACTGTCTGCTTAGAGTAGCAGAGCTGTTCTAGGATGTCTAACCTGCGGTGTAGAGACAGTAGTTGTAGAGCCGATGAGAGCTGCTTCTGTGTGGATAAGCTAGTCTTCCATGTTGCTTGAAGACTGGGAGAGTGATCGGTTTCTCCTGCATCCTGTGTGAGTGCTTATCTCCGGGGGTCACCATTTGTGGGGTACGTGTTGTTTGGGCTTCCATCCTGTGTGAGTGTGTCACTCCGGGGTCACCATTTGTGGGGTACGTGATGTTTGGGTTCTCACTCAGGATGGGATGGAGAAAGGAAACTCACAATGTGCTCTCTGTATACATGTTGTATTGGATGTACAATGCAGCTTGGTGCTGGGAAGTGGCAGCGTGGTTACAAGCGTGATGTAGCGAGAGCTGGTTGGTGAGGATGCTCAGAGGAGGACAGCTTGTGGGTCGCCATGCTCGCCGGCGGGAGCGAGGGCCGCCAGGCAGGAGTGGTGGAGGAGGTGGTGTTGCTTGCTGGTTGGTGTAAGTAGAAAGAGAGCGGTCACCACGAGGTCAGGTCTTTTATAGTGGAGGTTAGCGTGGGTAGATAGTTGACCTCCGTCATGTAAGGCGGCGCTGGTTGACCTTGACCACGAGGCACACACTGGGGAATTCGCGGGGTCGGCTACTCAGCGACAAACAGTGTTTGTGGGGGTGGGATCCACTACACCGTCACAACACTTTCTGGTAGATTGCTCCAAGAGTTCACAACTCTCACTGATCTTCACACCACGATGGCCAGCTGGTAACTGAAGTTACCAGCCAAACTGAAGTTACCAGCCAGATGACGTCATGAGCGGTGAAGGACGAATTTTCGACTCGAAGTGGGTTGACTTGGTACAATCAGACTTTGGTCCCAGTGAAGGAGTAGCTTCCAGACGTGACGTGACGTCTCGACTTCATAGAAAACGGCAGTGGCACCAAATTGAAGGTTTATGGAAATTGCTAGTGTAGTCTAAATTACCATTACTTATATGATTTTGGATTCCCGTTCACCCCTCTAGCGCTTGTAAACTAGCTCAGCACAGCCACCAAAAATAGGGTTTTCTATCTTTCAAATCTTGTATTACTTCGCTCCTTTCGGAAAGGCGGGCAATTTGTTGTTGTTTAAAAGGGTAATAATAAGAAAAGCAAATATTATTTATTTCCAGGAGAAAACAATTTAAATTTTAAACACTCAAAATAATATTATAATAGAATTCTGTCGTCTTTAAAAATGAAAACAAATATGTAGCATAAACACTTAAGTTATCTAAACGAAATTCTAACCACAAGATATATAAACGTTGTTTACAAGTATGACGTCACTACGAACGCTACTCGTGTTGTCAAGTTGTTTACAGTCACAGGCAGGGAGAGTTATTGTCCCACAGCCAGACGTGGGGGTGTCTTATTGTTAAGTGCGCACTCTATCATACTGCATTGATTCCCGCAGCTGATTATAATGGCAGATCCTGGAGAAGACGTAGCTGAGGACCGCGAGGAAGAAATGGAGGATGTTGAAGAGGACTCTGACACTGACGACGACGACTTACAAGAGAAGCGAGAACAAGAACTGAAGCTGAGAGTAAAGGAGTTGAGGAAACAGGTTATTATTATTATTACTGGTAAATTTTTACATTCGGACATGAGTCCATAGGGGTTGACCAATATGTTTTTCCAGTGTATTTTGGTGTGTTTTAAACGAATCTGACCTTCATTTTTGGCGGAAATTGCTTGTTTTTGCCTCCCACTTATCAATAATGGGGGAGAACCAGGGAAATCAGGGTTTTTTGGATGGGGAGAAAGCAAAAAGAGAGTCATCTAACTAAAGAAAACCTAACCTAACCCCTAGCTGGAGGCACAGTATAACGGGACCGACTAATTACCCAAATGTACCCAAATGTAGCTGCAATGAAGTCAAATAATGGTCCTACATGAATAAATCGGACTGCCAATCACTTCTCGACTAGTATTTGGTGTCAAAAAGTAAAAAAATAAATTGGAAAACGTAATTTAATCTGAGTTAATAGATCGCGTGCATGTACCGAGGGAGCGAGTAATTACCCAAATGTAGCCGCAATGAAGTCAAATGATGGTCCTACAAGAATAAATCGGACTGCCAATCACTTCTCGACTGGTATTAAGAACATAAGAAAATAAGGAGTCTGCAATAGGCCGGTTGGCCTGTGCATGGCAGCTCTTGTCGAGAGTTACTACCACTCTCTATCATCCATGAATCTATCTAGCCTACTTTTGAAACTTTCCAGAGTTCCCGCACTTACTACAAAGTTGCTAAGCTTGTTCCACTCGTCCACCACCCTATTTGTGAACCAGTTTCTTCCTATCTCCCTCCTAAACCTAAACTTATCCAACTTGAATCCGTTGCTCGAGTCCTATCCTGCTCGGATATTATAAGAACTTTATCTATATCCCCTTTATTGATTCCTTTCACCCACTTAAATACTTCTATCATATCTCCCGCACTCTTCGCTTTCTAGGAATGCAAGTTAAGTTTCTTTAACCTATCCTGATATGGAAGGTTTCTAAGTCCCGGAATCATTTTTGTCATTCTTCGCTGCACCGACTCTAGTGAATTTATATCTATTCTATAATAGGGGCACCAGAACTGAACCGCATAATCGAGGTGCGGCCTGACTAGTGCAAGATATAGTTGCAATAAGACCTCTGCACTCTTGTTACTTACACTTCAAGATATAAAACCCAATACTCTGTTTGCCTTATTTCGAACATTAACGCACTGTTTTCTAGGCCGTAGGTCCGGGCTTACAAGTATCCCTAGGTCTCTTTCACAAGTCGACTTCTCTAGGTTGATGTTGTCACGAAGTCAAAACAAATTGGTAAATTTAATTTAATCTGAGTTAATAGGTCGAGGGCATGTACCTAACCTAACCTCGACTAGTATTTGGTGTTACGAAGTCACAAAAAATTGGTAAACTTAATTTAATCTGAGTTAATAGATCGAGTGCATGTACCTAACCTAACCTAACACAACTCAGATTAAATTAAGCTTACCAATTTTTTGTGACTTTATGACACCAAATAATAATCGAGAAGTGATTCACAGCCCGATTTACGCTTGTAGGACCATCATTTGACTTCATTGCAACTACATTTGGGGAATTACTCGCTCCCTCAGTACATGCACGCAATCTATTAACTCAGATTAAAGTAAGTTTTCCAATTTTTTGTGACTTTGTGACACCAAATACTAGTCGAGAAGTGATTGGCAGTCCGATTTATTCATGTACGACCATTATTTGACTTCATTTGGCTACATTTGGGTAATTAGTCGGACCTCAGTATAATCTTTTTCTTCTCTATTTTCAATTTTTTTCTGTTCTTATTTTTTCACCCCCTAGGCTCCATTGTGGGTCGTTTGACCTGTGCCCGGGTGGGCTAATTCCAGTAGAAAAAAAAATATCCGAAAGTACAATACCTTAGTTAGAAATGAAAGGACCAGGGATATGTAAGATTTGGTTCGGTCCAACTAATTACCCAAATGTACCCAAATGTAGCCGCAATGAAGTCAAATAATGGTCCTACATGAATAAATCGGACTGCCAATCACTTCTCGACTAGTATTTGGTGTCACAAAGTAAAAAAAAAATTGGAAAACTTAATTTAAACTGAGTTAACAGATCGCATGCTTGTACTGAGGGAGCGAGTAATTACCCAAATGAACCCAAATGTAGTCGCAATGAAGTCAAATGATGGTCCTACAAGCGTCAATCGGGCTGTGAATCACTTCTTGATTACTGTATTATTTGGTGTCATAAAGTCACAAAAAATTGGTAAACTTAATTTAATCTGAGTTGTGTTAGGTTAGGTTAGGTACATGCACTCGATCTATTAACTCAGATTAAATTAAGTTTACCAATTTCTTGTGACTTCGTGACACCAAATACTAGTCGAGAAGTGATTGGCAGTCCGATTTATTCATGTAGGGTCATCATTTGTCTTCATTGCGGCTACATTTGGGTAATTACTCGCTCCCTCGGTACAGCACGCGATCTATTAACTCAGATTAAATTAAGTTTTCCAATTTTTTTTTACTTTGTGACACCAAATACTAGTCGAGAAGTGATTGGCAGTCCGATTTATTCATGTAGGACCATTATTTGACTTCATTGCGGCTACATTTGGGTACATTTGGGTAATTAGTCGGACCCGATTTGGTTAGAATGATTGTCTCTTGCAAAACTCAGCAATAAACTTAAAATAATCGTAGGAGCACAAATGACAACCAACCTCCACCACAGTCATTGTGAGACTGGTCAATGAAATTAAAATTGTACCCAGTCTGCTTCCTTTGAAAAAAAATCAAATGTAATTAGTCGAAAAAAAATTCGCGTGATGATATCAATACATCATTGGTCACGATTGGATGACATCAGTCAATATTACGCATGCGTGATGCACTGATAACATCTCACAGACGAAGACTGAAAAACCACGTAAAATCAATAAAATTCAATTGTGTCGCTATTATCCATTTTCGCCTGGTATATATAGGGCTCAAAATGCTCAGAATAGGGTAATCTAAATGTTTCAGTAGTTTATAACTTTTGGGCACGCTATGTCCTAAAGTAAAATAATACATTATTATTATTGTTATTATGGTACAGGTGTAGATAACGGCTACCACCAGAAGGAATTGTCCGAATTGGTTTAAATTTTTACTACACTCTAATATAATGATATTAAACACAAAAGTGGAAACGACAATGCATAGAACCTAATAGAACCTGGCCTAACATACCCATGGGTATGTTAAGTCAGGTTCTATGAGGTTCTATGCATTATTGTGTTAATTTATGTGTGAAACAATTTGCCTTAATATTGAAGCTGATATACAGTACATAAGCAATGGCGAGGAGGAATTTTTGGAAGCGTTCACCATCATTTATAGGAAACTTCTCTTGAAGAGGGATTCAGCGAGGTAAACAACAAAAATGGTGCCAGGAGGAGAATTGTGAAATGGTATAGAGTAAATAAAAAAAAATACTTAAAATCATAATAGAAAGTTGTTGCTTTTTTTAACACAGTATACTGAAAATCATCAAAACAATAAGTACAGCAAAAATAAAGAAAATCAACAGACAGCTTCTGGTGGTAGCCGTTATCTACACTTTTACTATTATTATTATTATTATTATTATTATTATCGTTGTTGTGGTTAACGTGTAGATTAATGCTGCCAACGATTCTAGCAACAACACACTGCTTTTCCACCATAATTTCTGTTGTTCATTGCTAGTGACAGTGTTCCCTTTTGGGGAAGTGTTTCTTTTATAGGTTAATATACTGCACAGGACAAACCGGCTAGTGAGTTATTTTTATTATTGTTTATTTTCTTACAATATTTTTGTCAGTGAGTTCTGATATGATAATCATTTATTGTGGAAATTGTTTGTTCATAGATAATTATGCGCCTAGGCACACACTAGTTTATCTTGCGGGTGGTAATGAGGCCTCGGTTTGCTGGGGGGCTTTTCCCGCCCTCGGGGCAGTTTGTTTTTCAGCATTTCGTGTGAAGGTTGTCGCCGATCTTACATGGACATAATTTGTGAATTTAGGGATACAAGACAACGAGGCCCTTCAATTGTTTAAAGATCACGGCATTGTTCCTTTACATAGAGATTGTTTATTTTCTTACATTACAGCTCCTCCCCGACTTATGACCTACTCGACTTACGACCACTTGCACTTACGACTTGCCTCAGTCGTACCAAAATTTTGTCAAATTTCTTATTTTCGAGTCCCAACGTCAGTACAGAGACAAAATTTTCGTTTGTAATTCACTTTAAAATGGCTGGCAAGCTTAAAAGTGAGAGTTTTGTGGTGCTGAGAAGAAAAAGAGACATCCATTTTAGATTTTCTATGTATTATTTAAGCATTTTCGACTTACGACCAATTCGACTTACGACCTGGATTTGGGTCCCTAACCCCGTCGTAAGTCGGGGACTGCCTGTAGTACCTTATATTCAAAATATTGGGGTGCTGTAGTACCCTCCCTTCCCATGTCCATGTACTGGGTGGAGTGAGCCAGCACACACCCGACCACAACAATAACAATCACCGGACTGACCAAGTGTGGAGCGCAGCGAGTGTTATCCACGCTGCTAAATGTGCCAAGATTTTCCCTGATAATTTTATATTACTCGGCATCTCTCAAGTTATTTTATTATAAAGTCCGAGACCATATACGTGCCGAATTAGTATATGAAATTCCGAGATATTTAATGCCGAGTTATCAAGGGTTTTATGTAAGTATGTATGTGTACAGAACATTCTTTCATTAAATGGCAAATGGTTAATAAAAACTTGCTTTCGTTATAATGGGGATTCGTTCAAAGGATTAATGTTCAACGGGGACTTACTGTACTGCATAGAGAGAGATAATAATGTATACTGTAGTACAAAACTGTAATTTTGTATTCATTGTAGTGACTCATGCATGTTTTTACAGCTTGAAGGCAATGACCAGTATTATGATGCATATGTACATCTGATAGCAGCATTACGAGACCTGTTTGAACTAGAGGAAGCAAGAGCAACTAGACAGAAGATGAGTAAAGTCTACCCTTTAACACCAGGTGAGTTTGTTTGTGATGTACAGTATTGAATTTGACCTTGTTTTGTATAGAGTGTATATAGTGCAAGTATCGAAGTACAGTAAACTCTCGAAGATCCGGACCCTGTAAATCCGGATTTTGGAAGATTCTGACAAAAAAATTTGGGGTTCTGGGCTAAGAAGCCTCCCTAAGAAGTATTCCCAAAACAGGGTGAAAGTAGTTTAAGGCTTACAGTTTTTGTCTTATAAAATGTCACAGACTAAACTTAGCAGAATATAAATTGTATTGCTGGAATCCATGCAAGACAGTGAATATTTTGAGTATAAACATCACATAGTTTGCACAAGAGATAAATATTTTAGTCCTTTAGTGTAGTACATTTGAGTACAAGTTTTTCAACTCGTATTTTTGGGATAGAAATACGTAACTTTCTTCATTTATTTTTACTCAATTACATGCACACACCATCCTAAATACATATTGTTAAGAAAGGTAAAAGAAATAATTGTCCTAAGGGCAAACCTGTACTCTAATATGTTGCTCAAAATTATGGCTTTTTCACAGGAAAAAGTCTGTATAATTAACCCTAGTGGTCAGTACAGTGATCCCTCAGTTAACGAGCGCCTCGGTTAACAAGATTTCGGTTAACGAGCAATCCTTCCCTTCCATAAGATTCTTAACTTCAGTTAACGAGCAATCCCTCGATTAACGAGTTTTTTACGAGCCGACCTCAACATGTTTTCGCTTGCATTTGGCAGTCCACCAGCTGTAGTATTAGACCGCCAATACAGTAATCGGTTTTAGGGCTTAAATTCCTTCCCATTTTAGTTAATATCAAGAAGTTTATACTATTCAATAATTTTAAAAGTTTAATATAAATTTTTTTAGTCATTTTAACAATTATTGAACATGATTGAAGGTAAAGAAACTAGTTTCATGCGCACCATCCAGCCTGGCAACACACCAAACAGGCGCCAGTCTCACTCTCTTTTCAGTGGAGGTAACATCTTGCTTGAGACTCTCTTCAACTTAACACTTTTTTCTGTATTTGCAAGCAAATTATTGGTCATTTTGAAATTTATTTTACATATTGACAATATATAATGCAGTGCAGTGTTGATTTAAAGAAAATAATCTTGAACTACACCAAGAGAACAAAAATTTTATGGGTGAAATGGCGCCATGGGGTGACTTCTCTTCCACCCCAATGCCTTCGCTTCTCCCTTCTCCTCTACCCCCATTCTAATTCCCATCATCATCATCATCATCCAGGAGCCTTCTACATACACACCTCAAAGTAAGTGTACTTTTCTACCTTTTTTGTTGAATTTAGGCAATTTTCGGTGAGCTGGAACCAATTACCCAAAAACCCATTGAAACAATGGTTTCGGTTAACGAGCAACCTGCTGGAACGGATTGTGCTCGTTAACCGAGGGACCACTGTGTTTTCATATCATTATTTATCGTTTTTATATATTTAGTACATTTGCCAGAAGATTCGGACAATTAGCTTTTTCAGACAGGTGGTCCCCCCCCCCTCCCCTTTTTAGTCTGGATCTTCGAGGGTTCACTGTACAGTATGTTTTATGAATGTTCATATTTTATATTATCTCTGTGAATTGGTTTTCATGTTAGAAAAACATTTAGTTACTACAATCCAAACATTTATAGCAATGCTTTTTACTGGCATTCTTTCTTATGAATTGTAAATATGTGGTACTGTATCAAGAGTTACAAGAATACAGTATTGTTTAATTAACATCTCTATGTAATTTCTTGGTTATAAGTTTGAATTTTTAAATAATTTATAGAGTTGTGGTTGGACTGGATTCGAGATGAGCAAAAGGTGTGCACTTCAAATGAGGAGAGACAGTTCATCATTGAGCTGTTTGATCAAGCAGTGAAAGATTATACAAGTAAGTGAATCAATTTTTTTCTTTTATAACCTTATGTTGGGATCAAATAACTGTATACCCAGCAGATCTAGTAGAGTTGTGTCATGTTATATCATCCATTTACTTCCTTCTGTAGTTTACATTTTCATACTGTATTATACAGTATTAATTCTTCCTTTGATAGCTCTACAGTACATAGCAATAACAATATTGCACATGAATACCATATGCATACTGAGAATTTACTAAATGGCAACCAAACAGTTTTTGACACCATATGCTGCCACTTATCATCATCATCTTCAATGTTTGATGGCAATTTTCTGTACTTGCTTGGGTTAGCTGTGATTACCATACTTGATGGCACTGTTCAGATTATTTTCATCGGTCTAATAACTTATTTCAGATATATTATTGTACAGACACATATTTATCTTACTTTTTTACAGGAAACATTTTATTTAATTAATTTTTTCTCGCATGACTTAATGCTGATCACAAAAGGTATTGGGTGACATGAATGGTAAAATAAAGGGGCATTTTATACAGCTCATTAGAGATGTATAGTACAGTATTTTGAATGGTATATGTTCATAAAATGGGAATTATTTTTATGTAACACTTTATACTGTACAGCATTGGAAAGGGGTTGTACTGTACACAATTTAGAGCTGGATGAACTTAACTTGTATTTCCCATAAGAAGTTACCTTTGCTTATTTATGCTTTACTTAGTTTTGATGCATTTTAAAAGCAGATCATGTTTGACATAGATTACTTTTTTTTATGTTTGGAAGAAACATCTGATTCTTATCTTCTCCACTGTACAAGGTGTGCAACTATGGGTTGAATACGTCATGTTCATGTTGGGTAGCGGAGACATGACGGCCACCAGAGCAGTTGCAGAACGTGCTCTCACTGCTGTAGGAACTCATGTTGCAGAAGGAGTGCTAATATGGCAAGTGGTGCTACTGGTAGAGAAGCAGGTAAGCATTTACAGGTATATTGTTTTCCACAGTATGTGTTGTAGCAATCCCAAAAAAGAATTAGTTTAGTCTGAGACCTTGATAATAATTATAATAATGGAAGCCCCTTGAGATCGAGGATGGCCGGCCCAAGGGCCAAATAGGCGTGAATTTGTTTAAGGTGTAGAAGCTGTCGCCAACACAACAACCACACCCTAAGTTAACGAGCTGCATGACCCAGTGTCAAGGAATAGTCCGAGAAGACCGGACAACTTACCAACTGCGCTGGCTAACCATTACCCTGGAATACGATCTGCAAATCGATTAACATCCAGGTGCCCAATTACTGCTGGGTAGACAGAGGCAAATGGCATAAAGAAACTTGCCCATAGTTTCACCCTGCCCGAGGATCGAACCCGTGTCCGCTCCCTTGTGAGACGAGGATGCTGACCATTACACCATAGGTCGCCACAAGGGACCTTGATACAGTAATATCCCGATTTACGCGGTCAATTGAACCCACAGAGGTCCGTGTAAAACGAGAAATGCGTAAATGGAATAACAGAACATATGGGATTAATTGAAATAGAGACTGGGCCGACTCCCAAACTCCACTTTTTCCGACACAATACCTATGTTCTTGTAAAAATAACATCTTAATTTTATGATGGTACGTACACACAATTAATATTTAAGAGAAATACAGTCGCCAGGTTAATGTCCATTCAAATAATGGACTCAACTCCCCCCCCCCTCCTCCCACGCTTGCCAGCTCCTCCCTCTCTGAGAAATGTTTGGGTGAAAACAATAGATTTTAAGGTATAGTAATAAATAATACCTCAAACTAAAGTTAGGATAATATAATTGACATTGCTGGATTCCTTCAGTAAATAAAAAAATTATACCTCACCCAAACACTATCTGTCAATCAAAATACCCCACCTCCGGCTCCCCCCTCTTCCCACGCTCGCTGGGTCCCTCCCTCCCTCCCTACCCCCCACTCCCACCTTCCCTCCCTACTGTGGTGGGATGTAATCCTAGACAAGGTTCTTCAAACTCCAGAGCACGAGCAGTAGATATATTCCATAAGTAGTACAAGACTTGGCAGGATAACCAACCGGTACAAAACAAGAGCGAGCAAAAGAAACTCCTTGTCTTAGCCAGGCCTGAGCCGATCTGAGAGAATTTAGCTAGCTAGGCAGGGAGAGTTGCAAGACATTACTAGGACAATAACTGAGATCTTCTAGTTACTTGACAAGCGCGGTACAGACATAGTACATCGGGACATAGTAAGTAGACATAGGCATTAGACATAAGCATAGATATCAGACATGCTATAATAATATATAGTAATACAGACATGTGAATAAATGGTACGATGAATGGTAACAGAGTCTTGCCGTCAGGCGTGTTCACATATCTTGGTATTTACATATCTATACACCTCCCTCCCCCTTTACGCTCGTAGTGCAATCTCGAGCGGCTACGGACTCGTTTTCCATGAGTCGGGGGAGCGGCGAGGGACAATGGGAGGATCAACTGACGACCTTCGTTCCTGGTCTGGGCAAGGGGGCACATGGGACGGGGAGGAAGGTTCGTCACTAGAGGATGGCACTGGGCGGAGATGGCGTCTGTTTCGCCACCACACACGACCACTGGGGAGGCGGACTTGGTACGAACGGGACTCGCCATGGCCCATGACGACCCCGACCTTGTCCCAGCGGTGTGACGTCGGGTCCTGGATTCGTACTTGCTGGCCGACAGTCAACCTGGGAAGGGGGCGGGCGTGGGCGTCATAGTGGCTTGTCACTTGGGCCATCCAGGCAGCCTCACGGCGGTCACACTCGTCCGCCTTGATCTGCCATTCATCTAAGAAGGACTGGGGGTGGGCAGACACACAAGTACGAAGGGGGCGGCCATACAACACCTGGGCAGGAGAGCGTCCGGCAGGGGTAGGGGTATCTCTGCACACCTGTTGAGGTGTGTCACGGCGAGGATGGGCTTTGGAAACTCGGATGAGACGATGGCCAAGTCCTGACAATGGCCACATGACAGGAGAGGGGTTTGGATGCCCTCATGGACGTGGACTGTGGCAAGGCAAGACTTGGGACCGAGCTGTAATGTTGCCTTGAAGCAACCCAAAGCTGGGGACATCGGGGACCCGTCCGCTGTGAGCACGTCGTTCATGGCTGTGGGTGACAGGTTACTCCTGGGAATGTTGAGGGCGTCCAGGTGTGTTGGTCCAATCACCGTGATGTCCGCGCCCGTGTCAGGTATCATCAGGAGGTTGGAAGAGTTGGTACCGTAGGACAGACGAACATTGACGGGCTTGGGGGACCTGTCACTCGAGGCATCATCCACGCGTCGGCATCCTTTGTTGTTCTTGGGAGACGGTGGTGTGGACGTTCTGTCGGGCTGTGAAGAGACGTTTTGACCTGGAGATGGAGGCTTCTTGGTGGACCTGCAACACTTGGCGAAGTGTCCTTGCTTGTTGCAAGCGTTGCATGAGACCTTGTTGGCAGGACATCGAGTTGTGCGGGGCCAATGGCCTTGAAACCCGCAGTTTCGACATTTACTATCAGCTGCAGGGCACTTTCCTGGACCGTGCTGGCGCTGACAGTTTCTGCAGGATTCTGCAGGAAGAAACTGGTGACTGTGACGGGGGCTGTGGAGAGGACGCCGTCTGCATCTGGCGTTGATTCCTCTTGTAGGTGGAGACGGCGTGAACTTGAGACGGTGATGAGTGTATAGCTGAGGCAGCCTCTCTTGTGGCCTCATACGACCTGCAACAGGTGACGAAGTCGGTGAGGGAAGAGGCGGCGTCGAGGGTGAGGAGTTTCTGAAGCAGGTCCTTGTCACGTACACCCATCAGCAAGATCACCTTGAGCTGGATCTCAGCACAGGTTACAGGATTGCCTGTACATAGGTCCACCTCGGCTGCTAGGTCCTTAAGTCGTGCGTAGAAGTCTGAGAATGATTCCCCAGAAGCTTGTTTGCAGGATAGCAGTTCCCTACGACGCAAAGCTTCATTGCGGAGGCCTCGGAAATGACTCTGCAAGGCGTTTAAAACCTCTGTCACTGACATGGAGGAGTCAGGGGGAATGGCTAGCGTGTGCTCTTGGAGGCGTTGAACATCGAAGGAAATGCACGATCTTAATTGGATGAGTTGTTTATGAAGGGGCATTCGGTTGAGGTCAGACATAACAGCAAAGTCTTCGAAACGACGTTGCCATTGACGGTATACTTGATATGTTGCATCAGATTGAAGAGGTGGGGGGCTGGAAACTGAAGACTTGCTGTGCAGGGGTGTACTTGAGACGGCAGGTAATGGAGGAGGCACGGAGAGGTCGACGAGAGTTGAGACTGGAGCAGGTGGTTGAGAAGGCACTGAGGCATACCCAAGAGGGATAGGTGACGTGTGAGGAGGCGTTGTCTGAAGGGTAGATGAAGAGGCTGAAGCTGGCGAATTGGTTGTGGCAGCTGGTGAAGTCGTCCTCGTTGCCAGCAATTCAAATAGTTCCAGGAATTTGCGGTTATCAGCTTGGTGTTGTTGTTGGAGTTGAAGACGGTAAGCTGATTCCTCTGACTGCCTTGACAGTTCCTCTTGACGTCGTTTTTCCTCCTCTAATTGACATCTTTGGGCTTCCTTCTCTTGGGAAACTTGTAGAAAGTGAATTAACTGACGTATATCCTGGCTCCCATCCTTTGAATTTGGCGCGCCCGGCGTGTGAGGCGTGAGGGGGGGTGGGAGGGTCTGTGAGGCTTCGTCTTCCACATAATCCTCATTTGAATTCCCCAGCAAATCGTTGTAGTCAGACATCTCGTGTTTGGTATGGTTGCGATGGGAAAGACAAGGAGAATAAGGTGAAGTGCTATGTTTTCATCAATGTACTTGCCTAAGTGCAGGAACTGGGGGGCAAGTAAAAGAGTTTTGACTGTAATATTTGTGAAGTTGAGTGGAGGAGGCTGGTGGCGGTATTACTGGGCTCTGTATTCCTCCGCGCGCCCGGGCGAGATGTCGGTGATGACTCAGTCGAGGAGAGCAGTGGTTTGCGGGCCGGCGTAGACGGAGGATGTATGCCTGAAGTGCTCTCTTGAAAACTGGGCTAAAAGGGTTTCTGCTACCTGTAGGGCCCCAGAAACATAGCAAAACAGACATGAAAGGCACTGCACTTCACTTAGGGCACTTCACAAGGTCACAAAGTACTTTAAATCCAGGGGCACTGTAGAATACATCTTCTGGGCGGGAAACAGACGAGAGCTGGCTCTTGAAACTTGTCAACTGTCGTGTTGGAGCTACTCAAACTGCGCCATGTGGTGGAATGTAATCCTAGACAAGGTTCTTCAAACTCCAGAGCACGAGCAGTAGATATATTCCATAAGTAGTACAAGACTTGGCAGGATAACCAACCGGTACAAAACAAGAGCGAGCAAAAGGAACTCCTTGTCTTAGCCAGGCCTGAGCCGATCTGAGAGAATTTAGCTAGCTAGGCAGGGAGAGTTGCAAGACATTACTAGGACAATAACTGAGATCTTCTAGTTACTTGACAAGCGCGGTACAGACATAGTACATCGGGACATAGTAAGTAGACATAGGCATTTGACATAAGCATAGATATCAGACATGCTATAATAATATATAGTAATACAGACATGTGAATAAATGGTACGATGAATGGTAACAGTCTTGCCGTCAGGCGTGTTCACATATCTTGGTATTTACATATCTATACACCTACCAGAGAAATGTTTGGGTTAAAACAGTATATTTACATTTTTAGTAATAAATAATACCTCAGACTAAAGTTAGGATAATATAATTGACATTGCTGGATTCCTTGCAAGACCAGGAATATTTTGAATATACACGTCATATATTTTGCACAAAAGATAACATATTTGCTTTGAGTAAACAAAATTCTTACATTAGATCTAAAATTTGTATGCCTAATGCAAAATCTATGATGTTTATATTCAAAATGATCATCAAATTGTAAGAATTCCAGCAATGTAAATTATATTCTGGCCGGGTAATTTGTATGAATTTTATGAGCTAAAACATATATCTTCGGTAAATAAAAAAAATATACTTCACCCAACATATCTGTCAATCAAACCCACCTCCGGCTCCCTCCCTCTTCCCACGCTCGCTGGGTCCCTCCCTCCCTCCGTACCCCCCACCCCCACCTTCCCTCCCTACCAGAGAAATGTTTGGGTTAAAACAGTATATTTACTGTACATTTTTAGTAATAAATAATACAGTCAACCCTCACTTTACTCCGTAAAGTGAACAACATAACATATGGGATTAAATAAAATAGAGACCAGCTGACCCCCAAACTCCACTTTTTCCAACACAATACCTATGTTCTAGTAAAAATAACATCTTAATTTTATGATGGTACATGCACACAATTAATACTTAAGAGAAATAGAGAAATACAGTCGCCAAGTTAATGTCCATTCAAATAATGGACTCGACTCCCTCCCCTTCTTCTCACACTACACTCGCTGGCTCTTCCCTCTCTGAGAAATTTTGGGGGGAAAACCAGGTATAGTAATAAATAATACCTCAAACTAAAGTTAGGATAATATAATTGACATTGCTGGATTCCTTGTAAGACCAGGAATATTTTGAATACAAATGTCATATATTTTGCACAAAAGATAACATATTTACTCAGAGTAAACATTATATATAAAATTTGTATGTCTAATGCAAAATCTATGATGTTTATATTCAAATTGATCATCAAATTGTAAGAATTCCAGCAATGTAAATTATATTCTGGCCGGGTAATTTGTATGAATTTTATGAGCTAAAACAAATATCTTCAGTTAATAAAAAAAAAATATTCTTCATGACACTATCTGTCAATCAAAGTACCCCACCTTGCCTCCCCCCCCTCTTCCAACCGGGCCAGATGGTCGGTCCGTCCCAACCCTCCCCCCCACCCCCCACCAATCCTCCCTTCAAGAGAAAGGTGGGTGAAAAAACTAGATTTTAACATTTAGTATTAAATAATACCTCAGATTAAAGTTAGGATAATATAATTGACATTGCTGGATTCCTTGTAAAACCAGGAATATTTTGAATATAAATGTCATATATTTTGCACAAAAGATAACATATTTACTCAGAGTAAACATTATATCTAAAATTTGTATGTCTAATGCAAAATATATGATGTTTATATTCAAAATGATCATCAAATTGTAAGAATTCCAGCAATGTAAATTATATTCTGGCCGGGTAATTTGTATGAATTTTATGAGCTAAAACAAATATCTTCAGTTAATGAAAAAAAAAATATTCTTCACACCGTGGTGCCAGGTGGTTGGTCGCCGGTCCCTCCCTCCCTCCCTCCCACCCCCACCAACCCTCCCTACCAGATGAATGTGTGGGAATACCAGACTGTTTACCTTTTTAGTAATAAATAATAAATCAGACTAAAGTTAGGATAATATAATTGACATTGCTGGATTCCTTGTAAGACCAGGAATATTTTGAATATAAATGTCATATATTTTGCACAAAAGATAAGATATTTACTCAGAGTAAACATTACATTTAAAATTTGTATGTCTAATGCAAAATCTATAATGTTTATATTCAAAATGATCATCAAATTGTAAGAATTCCAGCAATGCAAATTATATTCTGGGCGGATAATTTGTATGAATTTTATGAGCTAAACAAAAAAATTATACTTCTCCCGTGTAAAGGGGTACACCCACTGCGGAATGTGAGCATCCTGGATTCTGGCAGGGCACCTGTAACGTTTCCACGGAATGTGGGACAGCGTAAAGTGAGGGTTGACTGTAACTCAGACTAAAGTTAGGATAATATAATTGACATTGCTGGATTCCTTGCAAGACCAGGAATATTTTGAATATACACGTCATATATTTTGCACAAAAGATAACATATTTGCTCTGAGTAAACAAAATTCTTACATTAGATCTAAAATTTGTATGTCTACTGCAAAATCTATGATGTTATATTCAAAATGATCATCATATTGAAAGAATTCCAGCAATGTAAATTATATTCTGGCCGCGTAATTTGTATGAATTTTATGAGCTAAATAAAAAAATTATACTTCACTCGCGTATATGAGTAGATGCACCGCGTAAAGTGGGAATTCCGGTACTGGCAGGGTACCGCGTAAATGTAGAAACGCGTAAAAAAAACCGCGTAAAGCGGGGTATTACTGTACATGTACAGTGAACTGCTGGCTCAGCACATACCAAAACAAATAACCCCCAACCCCAGTATTAAGTTGAAAATACTATCACCTGTGATATTATCTCCTTCCCTCATCTTTTATTTATTTGTTTATTTTTGTTTTTTGGTTTTTTACAAATTCTGCTTGGCATCATGGCATACTGTACTGTACAAGGTATTAGTATTCTCAGAACCAAAATGTGAGGTCAAAGTTAGCCTAGATTCATTAGATTTCAGCTAGGTACTGTTACGTATTTTATGGCTTATAAGACTCACTTTTTTGTACGAACATGGCCCAAAAAATCTGCCTGCGCCATATATGTGAAGTTGCAGTCTCCCGTAAGCAAATGAATCTCCCAGTTGCTGTCTCCAGTTGGCTAAATTCTATTTAACTCAACTCCAGAATTAAAAATATGTTATTGCGTATTTAAACACATTATTATTATTTATAATATATTAAAAAAATAATTATTGCAAAAATAAAAGCTTGATTTATAACTACTCTACTGATGATGATAACCTGATATGATTAACATCCATACGGCAGACACCCAACTCTTCAGAAGTAGCTGTGCACTAACCATTTCTGAACTCTCACAAGCATTACAATCTATTAATACCATACCTGCAACATTTATTTTTAAATCTACAAATACCTAATACAAATGAAGATTTACGTATAAATTTCTCTTCACATTTGCATCTGTTAACATCGCTGGTGGCATTGTAGCCAGGTTAGACTTGTCACTGTAACCACCAGGCAACTGGTGTTATGGTTGTTTTTCATCTCGTATTTTCGGGTAGATATAGGTAACTTTCTTCATTTATTTTTACTCAGTTACATGCACACACCATCCTTCATACATATTGTGAAAAAAAGTAAAAGAAATAATTGTCCTAAAGGTAAACACATAAAGGGAACATACATATCTTTGCACACAAGTTAGCTGGTTCAGTGAGGGAGTGGGAGAGGCCAGGTGTGTGGGGGAGGGAGCGTTGCTAGGGAATCGGCGGAGATAGCTTCCTAGCTGATCTTCGTTGCTATGGTGAAGCAGGGAGTATATGCTAATGGCGACTGTGTTATACTTTCATTTGGCTTTTATTTACTTGTTTGGCAATACAGCATTTTTGGTTGTAACTTATTTATTGGTATTATTTTTATTTATTCCTCACATTTACTGGTACTGTATATATTATTTTAAGAAAACTATGGCTGCAAGAGGAAAGTCTACACAAGAGTTTTTTCCTAAATTCTCCTTGCTAATATGTCCGTACCATACAGTATATCTTGTTTGCAAACTAAATTTTATAAAATTGGAGATTAGTTCAATATGAATTGTGAATTTGCAAATTTTGTCAATTAAAATATTTATGGATTTCAGGTATACGCAGGCCTACAAAAGGCAGGTACAGTACAATCGGAAAAGGAAATTGCAGAACAAGAAAAACAGCTTCAAAGGATCCAAGGACTCTTACGCAGACAGATGAGAGTTCCGCTACTCAACTGTAGTACAGAATCATTGGCCGAAGAAGCTGCAGAGTTTTTTGAGGGTGACATTGAGCCTCAGATGAAGGAAGACCTAAAGAAAACTCAGAGCAAACTCAGAGAGAAAATTCCATTTGAAGACGAATTAGTAAGGAACTTTATCTTTTGGTATCAATTTATCTGGCTTTGACCAAAACTGCAAGGCTGTTTTTGGGTCGGTGGGTAATATATAACCTCAGGTAGTTTCGACCATTCCTTACTAGCTAAGAGGTCACTTGGACATCCTACATATGCCCAGTTCTGCAATAATGGGTTGGTGATAGGAAGTGCATCCAGCCTTAAAACCTGCTTAGAATTTGCCTGATGGCAAAATCTATCACATATACACGGATTCCTCTTGCTTTGTTCACTGCTCTAACAGATGTGCTCTGCTATGGTATTCTTTATTCCACAACAAAATCCCAAATATCAGTCAAGTTCTTCAAACAACCTAGCTTCTGTCAGCAGCAATATATGACAAATGCTCATTTCCATATGACACTTGACACTGTGCTCTCCTGTCATACACATTGCTGCTTCCTGAAAGACCAACTCTTTCCTTTTGCTCCTTATTGAGATCATAGGGAATGTGTAAGGTGAGTAATTTCCAGAAA